CTCTTCGTCTTCACAAGCTCCTGTGTCTCAAATATTCTCTCTTTTGATGCTGTTCATTAATCTTAGAATATTTCTTCATTCCTTTTCATTTTTCTTTTTTCTCTTTTGATTAGACACTTTCGAATGACCTGTCTTTGAGCTGCCAGTAAGGTTTTTTATTGCATGTTTTAGTTTAATCATTGCATTTTCAGCGGCAAAATTTCAATTTGGTTTTATTTTTAATTTTCTTTATTTGTTTGTTGAACTCCTAGTTTTGTTTTGTTTTCCTAATTAAATTAAATCCTTTATCTGCGTTCTCTTGTAGCTCATGGAACTTATTTAAAATAATTAATTGGAATTCCTTGTCAGGCAATTTATAGATCTCTAATTTTTTGAGGTTGATTACTGGAAGTTTATTATGTTCCCTTGGTGGTATCATGTTTTCTTTTTTATTTATTTTTTCTTTTTTTGGAGAAGTTTTCGCTATAGGGCGTGTGCACTCACCAGAAAGACAGAGAGAGACAGAGAGATAGAAAGTGAGAAATCACCCACCAGGGGGGATGGCCACTCCTCAATCCGTTCTCCATTCTCCTCTCGGGATCTTGGGCATGCATGCACACGTGCCTAGCGTGAGTTTAAGCCACCGGATCTGGGAGTCGAACTGTGGTTGGCTATGTGGGAGTTCAGCAACATAGCCATTATGCTAACTGCTGGTCCCAGTATCATGTTTTCTTGATCCTTCATGATCACTGTAGTCTTGTGTAGGTGTTTTAGCATTTGAAAAAGCAGTCACCTCTTCCAGGCTTTATGGACTGGCTTTAGTAAGAAAAGACTTTCAATTCTGGGGAGCGGAGGAAAATTCTGGAGAATGCTGTGGCACAAAATACAGTGCCTACATGTGGTGAGTGTTGGATGGTAGAGTGGAGGGAGTTGGTCCAGTGTTTAGTTAGTTCAGAAAACCAGAATTTTTCACATTGGCCACTTTGTGATCCTTGATATGGGAAGAGCTGTGGAAGATCTGTGGTGACTAAGGAGACTGATGTAGTCCTCAGTGGTGCCCTAGGTTCCAGCAGTAAGGGACCAATGCAGGGGATGGTGAGGGTTGAGGGAAGTGGTGTGTACATGCTCAGCTGTGAGCATGTACATGGTAGAGAAGGCAGGGCAGGGCCACCTTGTAGACATATAGGGGCAAGTGGTATGCAAGGGCATGGCTACAGGAGTCAGTGGCTGTGAAGTCAGTGATAGGTTTGACTAATTGCATGTGTATGTGTAGCTGCGGGGATCAAGCTGACAGTGTGTACACATGTGGGCCAGTTGGGCAAGTATGGAGGTTATTTGGTGGTGGGGCTGGCTACCTACATGTAAGCAGCTGTGGGAATGAGAACTGGTGGCATGCATGTGTGCAGCTGCAGGAGTCAGATGCAGGCACGTGAACTGGTGAATGCTGATGATAGGGGTTGGTAGTTCCATGGGCATGCCTGGACATAGGGACCAGACCTGGCAGTAGGCAGGTACACAGCTACATAGTTCAGCAGTAGAGGCCAGTGATGGGAGTTGGGGCTGGCTGCTTATATGTGTGTATCCATAGGGGCTAGGGCTGGTGGCAAATTCACATGTAGCTGCATGAGCCAGTTATAGGTACATGCTTATCTGTGAGACTTGGCAATGGGTTGCTTGCATGCACATAGCTAAGGGGTTAACCATGGGTACACACATGGTGGTGAGGACTATGTTTGTAGCTGAGGCCTGGGCTATTTTCAGGCACACATGCAATGGCTATGTTGGGTCTCTGGATTGGGAAACCCACAGCAATAGCAGCTGGAGAAGCCCCATAAAGTGGGGCAAGAGAGAGGTGGTGGCTTAAGCACCTGAAAACTACAAAAAAAAAAAAAAAAAAAAAAGTAAAAGTTGGGTCCTCAGTTGCAGAAACTGCAGGGTCTTCTGCAGCTGTGTGAGTTTCCTCAGGGACAAAGGCTGCTGGGGTCCTCTGCATAGCAAGCCATCAAGAACTGTGGTAGCTCCTGTCATGTGACTAACACTGAGAGCCCCACCCTTCTTTGTTTCTAGTCATCCTCAGACATCTCAGTTATGTTGCTCTCCCCAGTGATCTGGTGGGGTGAAACTGAAGCAGTTTGCTTAGACAGTACCCAGAAAGGCTAGAAAAGATTATTGTTCACCCTTCTTTCCTCATCTCTGCAGGGGGAGCTTGTGAGCCAAGGAATTTTCTGAACTGAGCAATGCCAATCTGGGGGATGAGATGATGCACGCAAAATGAAACTGTTCTCCTTACCCATTTTGTGTAGTTATTCTCATTTTTTTTTTCTTTCACTGTGTGGTTATATCTCTTTAGGTGAACTCTGAGCTCTGGATTCTCCAAGAGCTATTTTCATTCACGGGTAGTTGTCTAATTGTTGTTCTTTGTGAAGTGAACAGAGGCTGGGATCTCTCACTCTGCAATCTGGCTGATACCTCCTCACACTTTGTGTTTATGAACTTAAATACCACAATTTTTCTTCCCTGTCAGTTATCACTGAGTAAGAGTGCTCTGGTAGAAAGACTTTGAGGCCACTGTAATACCTGCATTCCAGTTCTAACTCTGCTACTGGTGTGACAGAGTTGTTAGGCAAGATTTTTATGATTTAGAACTCAGTTTTTCCATTTCTCCATTAGAAGTGAGGATCCAGGACCAGTGTATCTCAGAGATTGGCCAAGTGCCAGCAAATGGGGAACTGTAAGCCATCTTAAATGGATCTAGATCTTCCCAAGAGGGAGATGATGTCACCAACTCATGGTTACCTGCTCACAATTTCAGGCTGGAAATGCATGGGAGATGAATGAACCCCATGTCTCAATCACCCAGGTAAATATCTAACAATCATGCACCATTAATCGAGCACTCCATATTTGCCAGGTACCCTGCAAAATTATTCTCATGTACTGCCTCTCTTGGAGGCCTCACAGGCCCACCATGAGGTAGAGGTTACTATTGCCATGATTTCACAGGAGGGAAATGAAAAAGGAGGTAAACCCAGGGACTCTGATTGGAAGAAGCTGATTCTCTGGTTAAAGATAGGTCAGGCTGACTCCATGCAGTCTTCCGTCCTTGGTGTCCTTCCTCCCTTCTTTTCCCCACAAGTGAAGAGCCTGGAAGATTGGATTGGCCAGGAACCATCTACTGGAAGCCACTGAATTGGGGATAGAGGACTACTGGAAACCTAGGCGTCAATAAGTGGGCCCTGAACTCACCAGTACTTGCTCGCCCTTGTGTGTATGCAAAGAACTTCTTTAAGGAGCCAGGAAGGTCGGCAGGAGAAGTGATGGATAAGAGCCAATTTGGGAAGCTCATTAGAATGGGAGCTGCTTCTATGCCTGCCCCTAGGTCCTGCCTTCATTACTTGGAGAACTGCTTTTGTAAACCTCACTGTCGGGGACCCACACTCTCTGGAAGTGCCCACTTTCCTCTTCATCTTATATTGTAAACCAAAGTAGGAGGCAGAGACCTGGCAAAGGCCCATTACTCACTTTTAATGAGACAGCCAGGGAAATAAATTGGCATATGTTAGCGAAATGGCTCATCAAGGTGAGTAATTATCTTCATGACTGGGGCAGTTTACCCTCTGATGAAAGAATTTGCATCTTGTGTCTCACTGGGCTATGGCTCTCCAGAAGTAGACAGAAAGCCAAGTGGACCTTGACCACTGATCACAGATACTTCCACTTGTCTAGGCTTGCTATCTACATGCTCTGACCACTCCCCAACTTTCAAAGTTTCATGGATCCAGACTGCACAATTGATCACAGTAGAACAGAAACCCAGAGGACAAAAATGGACTACATTTATTTTATATTTTATGAATTGGTGTGTGTGTGTGTGTGTGTGTGTGTTTGTGTATGTATGTGTGTATCATGTATGAGAAGCATGCCTCTTTGACAGGGTGTGGGGGAGGAATTATCAGGGAGTGGTTCCGACAGGTTCTATAAAGTGAAAGTACCATGTTCTTAGTCCTGTATCAAACTTTGATTAAAGTACAATATTTCTTCCTTTGCCTTCTTGTGCCCTGATCCTATGCCCTGCACAATTAGCCTCTAGTGAGGTGTAGGTTTGCAATTTCCATTTTTATGGAATTAATTCCCTTTAACATTTTAAAGGGAAATTGACTAATTACAATTTTTTCCTGTGTTATAAGTGTTAGTTCTATCTTCCAAGACAAATCAGACTCTACTTGAACTCAAGGATGAGGGTATCTCTTGGCTTCCATTTCCTGTGGAATCTGGTGCAGGTTTCAAGATGCAGAAGACAGGATCACAGGGTAAGTTTCTTCCTGGTCTCCACATCACAAGCACTGAGTTGCTCTTGAACCTTACAGGCAGGTGACTGACATTATTTCCTCTAGAAATGGGCTATCAGGAGGCTCAGAGCTAATCACTTGCCCAACCCTGGTTTGTGGCAGGCTTTATTCACTCTTGACACCACCTGCTTTCCTTTTCTCCCTGCCTCCGGCCCCGTTTTTACTAGATAAGCTCTATGTAAGCAGACTTGTCTATTTTAAATTCCACTTTATCTCCATTTTCATGAAAGGTTCAGCACCATGCCTGGCACTCAATAAATAATTACAGAGTGGACAAACTTCAGGTTTTGTCATTTTCACATCTGTGCATGGTATTTAAATCTTCTTTGAAGCAAAGTGGGGACACTATACAGATACCCCCCTCACACACTAATCATTAGGCAATATGCTTGGTAAATAATTATCATTTAATTTTAATCAAGGTATTGAAAATTACAAAGTGGGCTGAGTGGATTGGGTCTCTAGCTATGATGTTTACATGCTAATGAGCTTTTTTGTTAAGGGCGATGGAGAAATACCAAAATGCCTGAGTTCTGCATTATCGAGCCTCAGCCCAGGATGGCGTGGAAGGTGCTACCTGCCAAGGACATTCAGAGCCCCCACGTGACCCTCAGAGGAATGATAGTGGATTTGTTTCTCTGACCCTATTGGGGGTCCTCTCAGGAGACTTACCATTTCTGTCAATGGCAAAAGGCACATCTGTTGTGACAATTTCGTAGTTGCAGATCTGGCTGTACTGGGGTGAGCAGTCCTCGTCCACGGCCTCCACCTGCAGGATGCTGTCATAGATCTTGCCCTCCGTCACCACAGCCTTGTAAGCTGGCTCTTTGAAGATGGGAGCAAATTCATTGACATCCTTTACCTGGATATGGACCACAGCCCTAGGACCACACGTAAGAGGAAAGGATGGTAAGAAAGGAAGAATTGCACCAACCTCCCACACCTCCCAGGGGCACTGACTGAGGTCCCAGGGCCATGTGAAAGGAGAAGCCCCAAGCCAGCTGGGGCAGCTTTCTGAGTGTTCTGTCCTCTCTCTCATTGGAGACTCTACTTGCCCTCACCTGGATGCTCTGAGATGAATTGACCCCAGAGGGAGTCTTCCCCATTCTTTCTCTTCCCTGTTACCCAGTTTTAGAAAAATTTTTTTTTTAATTTCTCTCTCTATCAATACAGTCCTTCACTTGGTAAGAGATTAACCCCTCTGTGTCTGTAAGGCTTTAGCCAAACTCCATATGTAAAGAACACAATAATATATGCTGTGACAGAGAGAAGCATGACATGGTGGAAGCCCAGGGAAAGGTCTGGGCCGGGTCTTCAGGGGGCTGGGACACTGGCCAACAGATGAGGCCCTAGGACCACACACAGGAGGAAAGGATGGTAAGAAAGGAAGAATTGCACCAACCTCCCACACCTCCCAGGGGCACTGACTGAGGTCCCAGGGCCATGTGAAAGGAGAAGCCCCAAGCCAGCTGGGGCAGCTTTCTGAGTGTTCTGTCCTCTCTCTCATTGGAGACTCTACTTGCCCTCACCTGGATGCTCTGAGATGAATTGACCCCAGGGAGTCTTCCCCATTCTTTCTCTTCCCTGTTACCCAGTTTTAGAAAAATTTTTTTTTTAATTTCTCTCTCTATCAATACAGTCCTTCACTTGGTAAGAGATTAACCCCTCTGTGTCTGTAAGGCTTTAGCCAAACTCCATATGTAAAGAACACAATAATATATGCTGTGACAGAGAGAAGCATGACATGGTGGAAGCCCAGGGAAAGGTCTGGGCCGGGTCTGCAGGGGGCTGGGACACTGGCCAACAGATGAGCAGGGCTGGAGCACCTTGGCGTGTCCAGTCAGTAAACACATCTGAAGAGCAGTCTATGAGTGGAGGGGGTGGGCAAGTGCAGGACGGGGTGTCCAGGGGGCTGTCAGGCCACTCACTTGTGTGACTTTTTCCAGGCCGTCTCCCGGGGCCCCGCACCACAGTCGTAGGCCTGAATGATGAATGTGTACTCCTTCTGCAGCTCACAGTCGATGGGGCTCTTGGCACGGAGGCGGCCTTCCCCAGATGTCTTGTTGAGCACTATGGCCTCAAAGGGCAGCTCCTGGCCATGAATCTTGAATGCACAGATTTCCCCTGTAGAAAGATGAAGACAGTTGAGTGGGAATCCTGAGAACGGCCAGGCTGAAGACTGTTTTCATTGGGGCCAGATTTGTAAACCCAAACCCTCTATGCAATTTCCTCTAAGCATAGAATTGTCAAACCAGAAGAGGCCTCCAGAGACACAGACCAATGTGTTCATTCATGGATGGTCAAATTGAAAAGGTTCATGCATGAAAATATCAGCCATCAAGTATCTCCTGGTGGAGAAGATGAGAGTCATCATGCTGAGACACTGGTGAATATTGTTTCCCAGTTTTCTGAACAGGCTTCCCACTTGCCCTCTGCTCGGCCTAAGATTAAGGGACTTCTCATAGTCCAAAAGCAAATGGCTGGACCAGCAGGTGATAAAGTCAAGGTGGCTGGACCCTATATGGCCAACTGTGTGGTTTCAGTCCCAAACCTAGTAGCCTGAGAATCATGCCAGGTGCATGTGTGTGCATGCCCAAAATCCTGAAGAGGAGAATGGAGATGGGGTTGTGAGGTGGCCATCCTCTCAGGGAATGATTTCTCACTTTCCTTCTGTCTTTCTCTGAAGAGCACAAAACACCCTATAGCAAAAACAAACAAACACAAAAACAAAAAACAAAAAACATGGCTGCAGAGGAAAGATATAAAAGGCCAAAGCTTTCAGTGTTTTGTCCTGTGACAACACCCTTACTACTTGTGGTCTATGAACCAACAGCCTCAGTATCATCTGGGAGCTTGTTAGAAATATATTAACAGAATTTGGGACCAGCAGTTAGCGTAATGGTTATGTTGCTGAACTCCCATGTAGTCGACTACAGTTAGAGTCCTGGATCTGGTGGCTAAAACTCATGCCGGGCGCGTGTGCATGCATGCCCAAAATCCAGAGCGGAGAATGGAGGAGAAGGGATTGCAGCATGGCTATCTCCACTGGGGGTGGGGTGGGGGGGGATTTCTCACTTTCTGTCTCTGTCTCTCTCTGTCTTTCTGGCGAGCGCACCTGCCCAATAGCAAAAACCTCTCATATATATATATATATATACAGAATTCCACACCCTACTTTGACCTTCTGAACCAGATCTGCATTTTAACAGGATCTCCAAGTGTTTAAACACCCCACAGAGCTGCAGCCAAATTCCCTCCACCTCCCCTACCTCCCTATTATGTCTCTCCACCCACTACTTCTTGATGAGGATGGGGGTGGCACCACTTGGAGTTGCAATTTTCTCTCTCGAAACAGTGGGAGAGAGTCTATGTGAGTTCCAGAGTCCCTGTGGAGCCTGAAAGGCTAACTTCTTAAAGAGCTGAACATATTGTGAAACTAATGCATTTCTCTCCATCATCTGAGTTAATGTTTATTATAACTATTTCTCTGCATTGAAGTGATAAGGTCATGAGAATCTCTCTTTTTTTTCTTAGTCAATGAACCCCAACTGCAAGAGAGTCCTATAATAAATGCCTTGGCAAATGCTGCAAATTTGATCCATGTACTCTTCTGTATTGAGAGAGTATACAGCCTTATTGGGGAGACAATCTATAGATGTCCAGAGGGGTCATTCATAGTGGAGAGGGATATGTGAATGGCATGAGGTACAGGCAGGAAGGAGTTCAGCTATAGTTACTGGAGAGTAAAACAGAGGCTTAGAGCCAACAGGTGTGGATTCACATTCCAGGTACAAACTGGTCAGCTTAAATCAACTTATATTGCCTCTCTGGTCTCAACCATGTCATCTGTAAGACTGCCATGGTCCAGGAGATGGTATTAGGGAGAGAGTATTTACTCTAGATGCTCCACCCCTATTCTGACATGGCCTCAACTGCACTGCCCAGGCCAGGAAGAAGCCAGCAATGCATGGAGGATGTACCACATATGGAGGCCTCACATTCAGGGTGATGTGGCATCTGCTCCCCTCACTGTCATCCAGGTCTTGCTCGGGTGTTCACAAGAGCAGGCACTATGAGGAGAAGGGATAAGATGATTCCATGCCTGTTCTGGGCCAGGCATAGAACTTTGTTACCTCTCCCTAGATAATCTCATTTAACCTTCCCATAACGAAGTGACAAGACAGAGTTTTATACCAATTTATAGAAAGAAAAAGGAGGAGGTGGAGAAGGCATTAGAGAAGTTCATTTCTTGCTCAAGGTCACAGAGCTCAAGGTGGATATAAAACTCAGATATTGCTGAGCTGCAAGTCCACATGCTTCCCAGTCCACCTCACCATCTCCAGCCTGCCCCCTAACTTCTAAGGGGGCCACCTGAGGGTTCCCACCAGGAACATTCTCTATTCCAATTCAAGTCTCACTCAGGAGACAGAAATCCCCCACTTTACATATAGGAAGCATGCCCTGATTGCTTACTAACAATGTTTTCCAAGACGGTCAATCAATACCAATCTTACCTTTAGGCTTTTGCTTTTTATTATTCTATTGATCCTCAATTTCATTATGAACATTCTGTTTTTTCTACATCCCCTCCTGGCCATTTCTCAAATGTAGTTGTGGAATAATGGACAAGACAGACAGGTTCTAACAAGAAGACTCATCCCATTAGCCATTGTGTGGCTCAGGACCACTGGCATTTCTGTGCCTCCCTTTCTGACAAGGCTCGCTCTTCAGCCTTCAGGCCAGGAGAATGACTTTCTCTGATCCTCAAGTTTAATTTCTGCTCTGAATCAGCAGGAGTTGACAGAAGCACAAGGTAGATCCTTCCATGGGGTAGGAGCACAGGAGTTGATAGAACTGGATAGAAGCAGGTCCTGCCTGTGTGTCTGGCCCAAGATCAAGGCTGATATAAGAATATCACCAACAAAAGCTGGCTGGGTAGCCCAGTCCTGGGCATTCTCTGGAGTGATTATAAGGCTAATCAGACTATTTCTCATCTAAGACTCAAGTCAATCCTAAACTAGCTGACAGTAATTTTCTGTTGGAAACATCGGATCACAAGACGAAAGAATCAGAAATCTTTAAGAAGAGAAAAGGAAGGGAAGGAGGGAAAGGAGAAAGAGGAGACACGGGGTGGGGAGGGGAGAAGAATCAGATAAACTGCAGGATGACATTTTTATCTGAGTTCAGCTCGATTCAATTCAATAGAACTTACTTTTTTTGTTTGTCTTTTGTTTTAGAGCAAACCCAGTTCCAGGGAGTGTGCTAGGCCTGGAGACACAAAGACAAATGGCTCGTGTACCGTGTAACATAAGGATGCCTTATCTTTCTGTACTTCTTATCGAGCAGAAATGATTAACAAGTAAATAAGGGCAATGCCATATGTACTCAATTTTCACCAGCTCAGACTGAGGCAGGATTTAATCCCCTTTGAACAAAATCTGCAATTCATGCCACCTCATTTATCCCTCTCCTTCACCTGACACTTGTGTTCAGGTTGCACAAATGTTCGTCATTTATTCACCCATTCATTCACCTCGTAAATACTTACTACCGTTGGTACCAGGCACTGGTGAAGCATCGCCAAACAAAATCAGCCCCAGCCCCAGCCTATGCCTAGGAGCTATTCGTAGCCCAGTAGCCCACTGAAAGAGGAAAGTCAGCAAATAATTGCATACAAAAATAAAGAGTAGCAACTGGGATGCATGCGCAGAGGGAGAGCTACACGAGGGTGAAGAACCCTGCCCTGCTGCCGCAGGCAGGAAGTGTTCTCCCCAAGGATGTGCCAGTTAGGCTAGGATCACAGGCAGAGACACCCGGGCCACAAGGAGGGAATTATACTTTGGGGGGCTAGGAGGAAGGGGACAGCAAGCCTTAGGGCCCTTCAGCAGGCAGAAAACTGGTGAGGCTAAGAGACTGTGTGTCCATTGTGGCACGAGTGGAAACTATGGGGTGGGGATGGCTTCTCTGGACACAGGACCTCATGCTGAGAAAGTCCCAGGGCTTGGTTTAAACCTCTGCTTAACAATTTTTGGGATCAGCAGGTGGCATAATAGTTAAAGCGCTGGACTCTCACATAGCCCATCATGGTTCGAGTTCTGAACCTGGAGGCTTAAAAATCATGAGAGGTGTATGGGCATGCATGCCCAAAATCCCAGGAAGAGAATGGAGGAGAAGGGACTGTGGTGTGGCTAAGCCCCCTAGAGAGTTATTTCTCACTTTCCCTGTCTTTCTCCAGCAAACACACATGCCCTATAGTGAAAATTTTAAAAAATTCTTAACGATTTTATCTTTGAACTTGTGTTTTATAAATGAAGCCTGATGGAACAAGGAAGCAAGCCATGAATGGTAGAGATGGGTGGCATGCATGTCCACCATGTCTTGCTGCATTCTTCACGTATAGCATTCAGGACGTTTCATCAGCCCAAGTTTCAACGGACCCAAGATGTGTGTGAGCTGAGTAGGACTCAGAGTGAGAAAAAGGTAAGCATGTTCTGCCTGTTACTGAGTAAGTGGGATGCTAACAGCCTCGACCAGCAGTTAGCATAATGGCTATGTCGCTGGACTCCCAGGTAGTTGACTACGGTTCGCGTCCTGGACCGGGTGGCTTAAAACTCACGCCAGGCGCGTGTGCATGCGTGCCCAAGATCCCAAGAGGAGAACGGAGGAGAAGGGATTGCGGTGTGGCCATTCCCCCTGGGGGGGGGGG